ATTTCAAATTCTTATGGTATTTAAACTTTCTGGAGCCATAGAGGCTATTGCCCTGAGATAATCTTTAAACCTTAAACCAAAAATATTCGCTGAAGTCTTCTTAAAACCAAACAATAGGCTAGTTTAATTAGTAAAGAATGTCTGCCTTGAGCATTGTGCTCTTTTAAAGAACTAAGTATGTGGGAACAAATTGACAACAGCAACTAGAAAGATCAGATCGACTCCACGGCAATGGGTTTGTTTGTCTGTCTGTTAGTTTTGGTTTAAGTACGTGTTAATATGGAAGGAACAATTTGGAAAAAGAAGGTGAGAATTGTCACAAAACTTCAAGAATGAAATCAATGTCGCTGAATTGTACACGTAGAAATTGTTGAATTGGTGTATGTTTTGCTATGTATGTTTTCAACAATAAAAAAATACAGAAATCCCAAATCCCAAGGTAGAGTACAAGGTTGGTTAGAATGGTTCCACAACACCACTGTGCTGCTTCTTTTATTCAACCATCCAAGTATGTCTGCTGCTTGGTGGTTGCAAACCCCCTGCTTTATCTCCAGCATCATATCTTCATTCAAAGGAGAAAGGAAAGGTAAGGAGCAAGACATTTGTATAATCCACATGTGTAAGCTTAAGAAAAAAAAAAAAAAAAGCCTATAGTTTTTACCTGGTGATTTTGTTTATATCTCTTTGGTCAGGATTATATCATACAGCTGTTCCTAGCTGCAAAAGAAGCTGGGAAATAATAGTTTTTATAGTAGATGTTGTTGCTGATCCAAATAAAACTGGGTTCTGGAAGTGAGAATGAATGACACAATAGATATTGGAAAAGCATTTAGCAGGGTCCGTCACAACTACTCAAAGTATTTCTCAACAATGTCAAAAATCATCTTAGTTTAGTAACTTTGGGAGACAGAGCAAGAGCAATGATTACAACTAATAACTGAGATCCAATTTCCAATACTATATAGGCCATGTTAGACAATTTAAGGTGAATGAATGAACAGGAGAAATGTGTATGTATATGTATAATATATACATTATCAAAAATAGTTACAGGGTCATATCATTTGAAATATTTTAGGAAGTCCTTTAAAAGCTGTGCTGTTATGCTGATTGCGACTCGTAGTGACCCTATAGGACAGAGTAGAACCGCTGTATAGGGTTTCCAAGGCTGTAAATCTTTACAGAAGCAGACTGCCACATCTTTCTCCAGCAGAGCCAGCTGGCAGGTTCAAACAGACAACCTTTTGGTTAGCAGTCGAGTGCTTAACTACTGCGCAACTAGGGCTCCTTAGGAGGTCCTTTGGGCAGGTTAAATAATAGTTGATAAGGTTTAGAACAAACTGTATTTGTTCCTGCTTAAACATCCAAATAAATTTATGTGAGGCAAATTATCTATTCTTTCCAAAACTAAGCAAAATTTTTTTAAATTATATTCATATTTCATCAGAATTCTCAGTAATTTGCAAAACATTTAGGCTCATAGGATTAGGCTCTTGAGGATATGAGGGAAAATAATGACCTATTTTGTTGTGGCATTTTCTTATAACCCCATATAATTGGACAGGTCACTGAACATATTTGCTCATTTCCTTATCTTTCTACTATGTCCCCTCACAATAGCAAATATTTATTTAGCACTTTCTGTGTCCCATGCACTCACAAAGACTCAAAGTAGATACTATTATCTCCATTTTATACTTAAGAAGTTTGTAAATTCTAAACCTGCTTGTCAGAATGGAAAGGGTTAAGTAGCACTGTTTAAATCTTTAATTTTAACTTTATCTAGCAAACAAAAGGTATTTATTTCATGGACACTATCTAGCAGTTTAGTAACTGAACAAAAAATGTGCTATGTGTTTGTGCTTTGTGACAGATAAGGCAGCACAGCATGGGGTTAAGAACACTTAATTCACTAATTTGAATCCTGACCGCCACTTCATAATTGTATAATCCTGAGGATATTACCTAACATCTCTGTGTCTTAATTTCTCTATCAGAAAATGAGGGTAATGGTACCCATTCAGAAGTTTGTTACAACAACTAAATCGGTTAGTACTGGTAAAACATTTAGAACAGTGCATGGTACATAGAAAATACTCTATTAATTGTCTATTGTTGCATAACAAATTAATCCAATTGGCTGAAAACAAGAAAAATGTATCATGTTTCTGTGTGTCAGGGATCTGGAAGCTGCTTAGCTGGATGATTCTGGGTCAGATCTATCATGAGGTTGCTTTCAAGTTGTTAACTGTGACTGAAACAAAACATCTGAAGCCTTGACTATGGCTGCAGGGTCTGCTTTCTAGAATGCTCCTCACATGGAGGGACCTTGGTGCTGGCCATAGGTTGGGGTTCCTCTTCACCTCCATGGTGCCTCTTGCCTTTCAGGGCATCTCTTCTCCACCTATATTTGCCAGCAAAATAGCCTGGCCTTCTTTACATAGCAGACAGGCCCCAAAAGAGAGTGAGCCAGTAAGCAAGAGATTGTGCGCCCAAAACAAAAGCCAGTCTTTTTATAACTTAATCTTGGAAGTGACATCCCAACATTTCTGCAGTATTTTATTCATTAGCAATAAATCACTACATCTAGCTCAAACGCAAGGAGAGAGGATACACAAGGTGAATACCAGGAGGTAGGGATTGAGTGTCATATTAGAGACATATGTACATATCGAGACACTGTGTATTTGCTTGTTAAATAAAATATGGAATTGCCACTGTATTTTCTCATGTATTTGAGCTAGTCAGTGATGGTAGTTAAATTAACCATGAAGAAGTCACATGAACTAGTACTGTAGAGGATCAAGTCTACCATCTTTATCTAAGGGCTCATTTTTATTTTTTCCTCTTTTTTTTGTTTATTGACCTCTAGTAGAAGGTTTATAGAACTAGCTTCTCATTAAACAATTGGTTCATACATTGTTTTGTGACATTGGTTACCAACCCCACAACATGTCAACACTCTCCCTTCTTGACCTCGGGTTCCCTATTACCAGCTTTCCTGTCCTCTCCTGCCTTCTTGTCCTTGCCCCTGGGCTGGTGTGCCCCTTTGGTCTTTTGTTTTATGGACCTACCTAATCTTTGGCTGAAGGGTGACCCTCAGGAGTGACTTCATCAATGAGCTGAAAGGGTGTCCAGGAGCCATACTCTGGGGGTTTCTACAGTCTGTCAGGCCAGTAATTCTGGTCTCTTTTTTTTTGTGTGAGTTAGAATTTTTTTCTGCATTTTTCTCCAGCTCTGTCCGGGACCCTCTATTGTGATCCCTGTCAGAGCAGTCGGTGGTGGTAGCCGGACACCATCTAGTTGTGCTGGACTCAGTCTGGTGGAGGCTGTGATAGTTGTGGTCCATTAGTAAGGGCTCATTTTAAAAGATTATATTAACCAAATGACTTTCTTAAAAATATTACTAATTATATTGATTTTTTTTATCCAAAGAATAATACAAACTTTATTAGAAAATCATGAACTATTAACCAAAAGATCAGAGTTTTAAGCAGGATTATTTATTAACTCTCTAGATTAGTTTAGCTCTTGGATCTATTATTTTCAGAATTCTGGGGAGATACTTTTTGTATGTTAAAGGAACTGTCTCTTCTAAGTTAGAGAAATAAGAAGTATATACGCAATCTCAGTCAGGATGCAGGGAAATGTATATTTTTGCAACCAGCAGTAGCTACTGAGGTCTGTTGTGATGAGCAGATTACCTCTATCCCCACTTTACTACTTATATACCTGAAAAATGTACTCCAGCTTATCGTGAATGGAAAATAAAATACAGTTTTAAAAACAAACTGCAAAATGGTATTTATTTACATTAAAATGTGAATTACTCTTATACACACAAATTTAAGAGGCACAATCTGTTATACACAATAACTGTAATATTCAGTACATGTTACACAGAGTAGTATCTGTTGGTAAGTCAGTGATTTAAGTGAAAACACAGTACCAAAACATTCCTGATACAAAATAAATTACCCATTTACATTTTCTAATCATACAAGACATTTAATATTTTGTTATAGACTTCAAAAAACACTAGCTAGATGTACAATGAAAGTACATGAAGTTTGCTTTATGAAAAATGTCTTCAGACTGTTATGTATAAATGATCCTTTTCAGGATGTTATTATCTTTTAAATAAATAAACTACATTGATTTCAAGACTATTTATATATAGTTTCTAAAATATAACTGGAGACATTCTTTCATTTTTTAAAGGTATAAGTATACTAGAGAATATGCTAAACTATTGCCCCGAAATTCCAACACTGCCATTCCATATTTCAGACAAATTAAATTCCAGTTTTAGTATGAGATTAGCTACAGTTTTTCAAACTGTTTCCTCCAAAAAGTGTTAACAGATTGTCTTGAACTATCTCAAATTTTTGAGAAATCAAGTTTTTTTTTAACCTTAAAATATTATAGATTAAAACTGATACTATACGAGGAAATTCTGAGATAAATAGAATACTTTTCTCTTAAACAAAGACCTTTACAAAAAGACCTTTATGAAAAGTCTAAGAGAACACTTGAATATTTTCATAATGTAGTGAAGGATTCATCTTTGGCATTTCTCCGTTAGTTCTAAAATAAAACACACCAACATTTTATATTTTTCTATCTACCCATGACAGATATTCTGTACACAAAAGTATTCAATTGACATTGTGTTTCAACAGCAATTTCATTGCTAAGAAACTTTTTTTTTATATCTGCAAAATATTAAGAACAACATTCAGCTTTTTACTATGAAAAGCTGCAATGTTTTGATGTTACTGAAATGAATGATTAGTTCTCTTTTTCAGTGATTGGAAATTCAACATCCTTTCAAATTCAACAATGGATAAAGCAGACATACTTAACATTAACAAAGATGTTGACCAGGATATAATTTTTCAATGTTAACATGAAGCATGCTTCTATTAAGGAAAAAATATATATATCTTCAAATGATATGGGCATCACAGAAATAGAACTATGTATTTTTTTCTTGGTCCCTGTGTCTTTTTCTAAAAATAAAGAAACAAAAAAACTGTTACAAATGTTTAGATTTCAGATGATTTCCACATTGCTTCCAGTATTCGCACATTTTTTACTCTAATTACACACTAACTTTAAGGCTGAAAGTAATCCAAATATGATTATTTTCAAATTACAACAGGAAACAATAACAGGGCTTTTAAAACTGAGTACCTTTTCCCCATTCAAAAATAAACATGGGGGGACATCTCAGTAAAGGTGAACCAAGTACCATTCGATAGCTCAAATGCAAGATGAAATCTCCACTGCTTACTGAAAATAAACAAAGAAACTAAAGCAAAAAAGAAAAACAAATACAGTAGCTAATTACCAATATCTTAAATAACAAAACTACAGACAGTAATGATGGCTTTTATTGTGACATTAACACACTGGAAAAATGCATTTAATAATTCCTGATTGTATTCTAACAAGGCAGAATCATGGAAATCCAAATAGAGAATGAAGCTCAGCAGACAGCCAAACTAGAATATAAATTGGGCATTTCTACTATCTGGTATTGAAACATTTGAATAAACCTGTGGCTACTTTAGAAAGAAAATAAATTGCCTGATCTCTTAAATGAATCAAGAAATCTGGAAAATAAAGATTACTTGAGTAGGACAAATAGGATACTGAATTTGGAAAAGTAAATTGGTTATACAATATGGCAGTTAATGAATATTAGATATGCAGCTTATATTGATAATACTGTTACCTCCCAGCCAATGCAAATACTTGACATCAACACTGTCTTTCCAGTATAGTTCAAATTAATAGTTACATGTAATAACCAGATAAATAAATTACTAGCTCTTGCTAATACAATTTAGTAAGAACTGAGAATCTTATAATTGGCACTATTTAATTTTACAGAATATAATTTTAAGTTTTTATGGTTATCTACTTCCAGAATCCAGAAAATATAGCCATCCATGCTCCTGTAAGACAGTTCTACATCAATTTTATCTATCATTTTAGAAAGTGCTTGTTAGAATGGGACCTCTCCAAAATCAAATAAGGATTAATCTGGTCACATCCGATCCTAAACAAAATAAGAAAAATTTTCATGATATCTAAACGTTGCCTTCTATGTAAATTTTTAAGATTATTTTAGACAGAGACTTTCTCTTCTGGAAGAAGTGATCTGATAAAAGGGAAGAGGTCATCAAATATGATCACAAATGATAACTAACCTCCATAATTTAGTTGAAGTTGGTTTTCTGTAAATGCTTATTGGGAATTTCTAAAGCACTGACTTGGAGAGGCCAAGAGCCTCCATCAATTCCTGCTTGGATAGCCACTCCTGTCACCACTGCTAGGTCAGGGTCTACAGATGTGTTGGGATCCTTTCCAAAGAACTCTTGAATGACTTGGCGGATTCGAGGAATACGAGTAGAGCCCCCAACCAAAACCACCTCATCAATGTCAGTCTTTTCCAGGTGGCCTTCTTTTAATACTTGTTGAATGGGCACTAGTATTTTCTGGAACAGGTCTTCATTAAGGGTGTCAAAGAGCTTCCGTGATATTTCTGTTTCAAATAAAACCTGATTTTCTCCACTCTTCTTTTCAGAAAGGTCAGCTCCAAACACACTGTTCACATGGTGACCATCTGCTGCAGAAAGTGTGTCTTTTGGCAGTTCATTGTCACTACTTTGAGGTTCCTTCCTGTTCTTTTCCTCCACCGTGAGTAATACTGACATCTGTGCCGAGTGATGAAGAGTCAGGTTTAATTTGACCATTTCCACAGCTTGTCTTAATCTGTGGATCTCCTCTTTCCTAGAGGGGAGGAAGCCATACGTTTGATAGATCTGTGTATATAAGTACTGAAGCAATCTCTGATTGAAGTCCTGTCCTCCAAGTTTATTGTTTCCTAGGTTAAAAATAAACATTTATATTATATTTATGCATACACGTGTGTGCGTAGAAAAATGATGTTCTGGGAGTAATGAATCCCTTCTTAATACATACTATTAAAAAATAGTGTCCATATACATTAGAATTTTTTAAATTATGTAAAAAAAACTATCTTTTATCAAATAATTTTTCAGAAAATACAGACTAAGAACACAATTGGCTTTTAAGTAGCAATTCAAAAACACTAAAAGTCATTATTCTCAACAGAAGAAAGTTCATATAATTAAAAATTACAAGTAGGCATTTTAACATTATGTTGTTATTCTTCGCTTGTATGATTAACAGCTGAGAAGTAGAAAAAATAACTTTAAAGAGTAATGCGGTGTACATCTCCAGCACCGAACTTGGTTCCGAAGAGTCCAGTTAAGAAAAATGAAAATTGCAGAGGTTAGACCACCTATAACTTACAGTTCAACTTTTCAGATAAGCTTAACTTCTTTACCAAAAAAAAAAAAAAAAACTATACAAAAGATCTAGAATGCAAAATCCTATCATTTTCTAGAGAACACTATTATTAGATTTTTAAAAGATATCCATTTTCAATTGTGTAAGACAGATTATCAAATGAAATAAACTGAGCATCTTTCACTTTAAAGGGATTTTTCTTTCCTTCTGCTCTCTTTGCCATATGCATGAACAGATCTTTTGGCTCAACTGCTACACCTGGTAGAACATTTAATTTACAGGATGCCCAGTCATTTTCGAAACTTAACTTTTTGCTGTAAATATATATAAATGGTGGCATAAAATTGGATATACAGAATATTACCAAAATGAAGTCGAAGAATTCTGGGAGGAAAAAAATGAACATGGTACACACATTAGACATGTTAAAGAAAGCATTGCTGAACCCTTTCAACTTTCCTTATAGTTTTCTTACCAGACATTGCTCGGGTTAGAAACATTCCTCCTTGTTTATTCAGTAATGACACATCTAGAGTTCCTCCGCCCAAATCTATGACCAAGACATGAAAGACGTCAACTTTGTGGAGACCATAGGCCATAGCAGCCGCTGTGGGTTCATTTATTACTCTCAAGATCTTCAGTCCTGTAAGATTGGTTGAAAGGAAGAGCAACTCATAAGAAGACACTATGAAAAAATTCCTTTCCACTCAACCCTACAGCATGCTAATATCTTCCATGGCATGAACTCTACTTAGTAATAATGGGGACAGTCACAAACCCAATAAAAATAATGAAAAGGGAAGGATAAATATAGGTTCTTTTAAAGGATATCACTAAAATTATTCTAACAGAAGATTACAATATAAAGAAATACAGGCCAAAGTTCACTGAAACATGCCACTCTATTCTTTATTAATACTTAATTTTAAAAATCTCTCAGCTTTTTCTAATTTTCATATTCTACTTGGGACTAAATAAGCAATAAAACTTTAATCACTCTGTACTATAATTAATTGCCATGGAAGTGGAATAAGCTTACCATATTTTTAAACAAATAATGCACACCTTCTAAGTTTGTTTGCCAATTGCTCCCTCCCCCATGCAAGGTATTTTTGTAAACGCACTAGGTTAATTTTTTTACAGCAATATGTTAAAAAAAGAAAAAAAAATTGGCATAGTGGCGCTTATGAAGATACCTCCCAGGTGGAAGAAGCAGCAGGCAAACAAACACAGAAGATGCATGTTATTTGCATAAAAATTTGGTATTATGCTTTTAAAAACATCTTTTGGATAAAAATAAGAAATGGATGAATACACAGAAATGCTTATAAAAAGAAAAATCTAGGTGAGACGCTCCAATAGGCACAATGATACTCTTAAAAAGTACTTAAAATACAAGATGCTCAAATGCAAATGTGAAATGTACAGCAAATCTGATTTTGAAGATAATGTTAAATGGTAAATGTGTAAGCAAAGGTCAGTTTTTGGGGTTTGTTTGTTTTTCCAAACACATCTCTGAAAGCATTCACTGGAGAATGTCAACTAAAAGAGCAAAACAGATTTATAAAGAACCACAGCTTTTTGGATCATTCGATTTAAATAAATATTTAAATACATAATAGATGATACTTCACACTACTTTATATACTAGAATTACAAGAGTCCTCAATCAATCAAACAGAATTAAAACAGAGGATGAGAAACATGCCAACCTAGTGGAAAACTACTACATTCAGTGAAAAAAATCACAACTAATACTATCACCTGCAATTTACCACTGAAGAATTTTTTAACAGCATTGAAACATCACAACGTCCTGTTATATGCTCTATGTCTAATAACCTATTTTCCCTAGAAATTGTTCTCCATTGTATACAGTGCTATCTACCGATGATTTCTGGAAGCGTGAGTTCTTTGACTGGTTCCTTGAGCAAAATCCCTGCATTAAACTCACTGCCACACTTAATGAGTGGTCTGGAAAGCAATAAGGCATTATGTTTGGATAAATTCAGGGGGAATTTATCCAAAGACCGTAATACTCCTCCCCTTAGCACTCTGACATCATTATTCACTCTGCATCAGCCACACTGGCCTCCTTTCTATCCTTGTAGCTACCAGCATATTCTCTTTTTATGGCTGTTGCACTTCTTCCATATAGCTGCATGGTTAGCTCCCTCACTTGCTTCAAATCTGCTTAAATGTCATTCTCTCAGTAAGTCCTACCTGGACATCCTATTTAAAACTTGCAAACCTCTAATTACCACAAGCAATCCTGCCTCTTTACTCTTTTTCTTCTCACAGCATGTTACTTTCTCACATGCACTATATCACTGGTTCTTAACAAGGGGTGCTTATGGCCTCTAGGGGACATTTTGCAATGTGTGGAGACATTTTTGATTGTTACCACTTGGGGACAAGGTGCTACTGGGAGAGGCCAGTAATGCTGCTGAACATTCTGTAGTACACAGGACAGTCCCCCACAACAAAAAATTACCCAGCCCAAAATATCAATAATGCTGAGGGTGAGAAATCTTGCAATACACTTGTCTTCTATGTTTATTTCCTGTTTCCCACGAGCAGAAATTTTATATATCCGTTAAACGATGTTAAATGAGTTCTCCCCACTTCAGATTTTTTTAAACATTATATTCATCTTAAAAGTAAAGAAAGTTAAGAAGAAAGAAATGTCCTATCACTAACACATGACCATGTTCTCTCAGCCTTTATCCACATGCCTACTTAATATGTGATTGGTGGTTGTTGCAATATACACATTTTCCATTGTGTTACAGTGCCTTCAAAATCATCATTTGCAAGCCTGTATCAAAATCCATCTAATTTACTTCCCATACAGTTTATTTGCCTATAGTTAGGTGACACGCAATGTGATATCCCTTACTAGATTTTCAACCGAATAAAATTTTGAGAAAAATGCAACACGGGCAAGGGTGTTACTACCTGCAAGGTTAGCGGCTTCAATTGTTGAATTTCTCTGTTTTAGATCAAATTCTGCTGGTACAGAAATGACAGCATTGGCAACTGCCATGCCAAGATATTCCTCTGCCATTTGCTTTAACTTCAACAACAGTCGAGAGCCAACATACTCTGGGGAGACGGTGATGGTCTCATTACTTGTCACAGAAAACTCAACCATTCCATTTTTGTTTAAAACCTGTGAACAGAAGTGGCAAAACAAACAAACAAACAAAAAAATATAAAAGTGTGTGTGTATACACACACATAAACATATACAAATACACACAACGCATACATAAACAGATACACACACGTACTTACACACATACATCCATACAGAATGGACGTATTCAATTAAAATTTACCCTTATCTTTACAAGGTCATAAAATTCGTTTGTAATCCATCCAGTACATTTACCAAGATCAGAACTTAATAAATGTTATACTTTAAAGTGCATAACATCAACCCACATTATAGTTTTCAACAAGAGCAGAACAGTAAAATTTATCACCAAGCTTATGACTGGAACACAGAAGATTCTCATATAATGAATGAATGAATGAATGATGAAATATAAGAAATAAGCTGCTAAGTCATGTGTCTATCTCAAGATCTGCTCATTTTCTTTTTTATTAGCTTCTTTCCAAAAGTAATAGAAACCTGAGAAAATTTTTTTTTTCATTATGTTCTTATCTATCAAATACCACTTACTTCCATTCTTGTTTCTGTGGAAATATGTATTGTGTATTAGCCCTTTATCCCTACTAGAATGGGTGCATGTTTAAAGAGATGGATTAATTCTAAAACATGCTACCCTAGTTTCACCAAAAGATTGTAATAATATCGATAGTAAACAGGATTAGTTGGTTTTAAGAAATTACAAGAATTTTCATCTAGTCATTCTAGACCTCATAAATAGGTTTCAATCAAGAAAACCAGACTTTACAAAAATTATTTCACCTATCTGGGGAAAACAAAAACAAGCTGCAGACACTAAAATAAGGCCCACAGGCATTAGTACCGCTGAAGTCCACGTGAAACAGAAACAACGGAAAATTATATATTTAGAAACTTAAAAAAAAACAATAAAACTTAATATACCTCTAGGCTCAGTAAGTAATTGAAAACACAATTACATACTATTTAGAAAACAACAAAAACAACACTATAAAATCAAAGCTTAAGTGATGTAACCAAAGCTATAATTAGAGAAAATTTACAGCTTTAGATGATTTTATCATTAAGCAAGAAAGATTATAAATCAGTAAAGAATTCTAATAAGGAAGTTAACAAAGGAATAAACTAAGAAATGTAGCAATTTTTTATTCTTTGAAAAACAGATATAATTGTTGAGAATTTTAGTGGGTAGATTACTCAATAAGCAGACTAATAAAACTATTTTAAGACCAATTATTTAGAACCTTCATAGATTAAAGATTTAAATGTTTTAAAAGAAAGCAAACAAACAAAAAACCAGGAAAACCCAAATCAACAAATACTCACATAAAAGTATTTAGAGAGAAAAAAAAAACACAAGCAGATAGGATGGCAAAGGTGATCATAAGCTTAGTAAAAAAATCCAAAGTCATTTAAAAAAGTTTTGAGAGATGATTTCATCACACAAAAATTTAAAACTCTGAGAGCTCAAAAACAAAATCACATATTATCAGTAAAACAAACGAACAAAAAAGCTAAGGAAAAATACTGAAAACATGACAAAGGTATTTTATAGCCGTCAGAGATGTTGTTGTGTGCTGTCAAGTCGACTCTGACTCATAGAGACCCCATGTGACACAGTAGAACTGCTCCATTGGGTTTTCTTGGCTGTAATCTTTACAGAAGAAGGAGCTCACTAGGTCTTTCTCCTGGAGATTGGCTCGGTGGGTTCTAACGGCCCACCTTTTAGTTAGCTGACAAGTGCTTAACCATAGTACCACTAGGGCTCCTTACAGAAGAGAAAATACGCCAAAAGAAAATAGGGAGAAGGACAAGAAATGGATCACCAAAGAAAATTAAAAGGTTAATATACAAATTAATAATAACTAGCAGACATACCAAACCAAAAAACCAAACCCGTTGTTGTCGAATTGATTTGGACTCACGGTAACCCCATGTGTTACAACTGCGCTCTATAGGGTTTTCTTGACTATAATCTTTATGGAAGCAGATTGCCAGGCCTTTCTTCCATGGCACCATTAGGTGGGTTTGAACCACCAACCTTTCGGTTACTAGCCAAGTGCAAACCATTTGCGCCACCCAGGGATCTAGTAGAGATATACACACTCTAAAAAGCAGTGGTTAAGAGTGCGTAACTTTTCCAGAACACAATTTGGCAAAAAAAAAGCATACCTTTGACCTATCTATTCAACTTCTAGAATTCAAGTTTAGAAAATTATCACAGAACTGTACAAAGATATGTGAGTCAGGACATTTGCTAAAGCTTCAACATTAGTGGAAAACCAGAAAAAATGAAATGTACATAAAAAGAACTAGTCAATTAAATGATGGAATAGTTGTTCAAAATAGCCATTAAAAATGATGATGTGAATCTACCATTGTCCATGACATACTGTTGAGTTTCAAAGCAGTATATCAGGGCTGGATGTAGATATATATGTATATACATATACATCCAGCAGCCCTGGAGGCACAGTGGTTAAATGCTCAGTGGTTAAGTGCTCAGCTGCTAATTGAAAGGTCAGTGGTTTGAACTCACCAGCCACTCCGTTCTGTGGGAGAAAGATGTGGCAATCTGCTTCTGTCAAGATCTGCGGTCTTGGAAACCCTATGGGGCAGTTCTACTCTGTCGTGTAGGGTCGCTGTGAGTCGGAATCCACTCGATGACAGTGGCTTTGGTTTGGTTTCTTCGGAGATTTTATACATATATATATATTTGTATACACACACACACATACACACATCAAACCAAGCCAAACTCATTGCCATCAGTTTTCCAAGCCCCACAGGGTTTCCAAGGCTGTATCTTTCTCCCATAGAGTGGCTTTAACAGCCAGCCTGCTGCCATTTTAAAGAGCTAAGAAGACATGCTGGGGATAGTACAGCAAGAATATGGTAAGGACCTAAATCCTTGAGAGCACTGTGGAACCACTGATTTAATTCACTCTGGAAGTGTGGGATTTCTTATTATTTGTGAAAATACAAAAAACCCATTGCTGTCGAGTTGATTCCGACTCATAGTGACCCTATAGGACAGAGTAGAATTGTCCCATAGCGTTTCCAAAGCTGTAAATCTTTACAGAAGCAGACTGCCACATCTTTCTGCCACGGAGCGGCTGGTGAGTTCGAACTGCCAACCTTTCAGTTAGTAACCGAGTGCTTAACCACTGCGCCATCAATGCTCCTGTGAAAATATAACTGCTATGTAAATTAAGTCAGTTGAAGTAGAAGCATCATCTGAAACAGTATGCTGGACTAAAATTAAAATCAATTTTAGATTAATCACTTACCTTAAATGGGTATCTGCCAATTTCAGCCTCCAGCTCTTCTGGGGTAAAAATCTTGCCAATGAATCTTTTGGCATCATATATTGTGTTCTGAGGATTTGAATCTGCCAGCTCTAAGCTTTCATACCCCACATATACATCGTTGTCAGTAAAGGATACCATGCTGGGTATGCTGATATGCCCATTTTCATCTGGAATGACCTTCACTTTTCCTGTGCCAGGAAAAAACACTCCCACAGAACAGTAGGTTGTACCAAGATCAATGCCAATCACCTTAGGAGTAGGCAAGGGCAAATACTGTTGTGCCAAATAGCCAGCCAACAGGAGAGTCAAAACAGCTGATCCTGAAATATAGGCAAATGAGAAGATATATTTTATCAACCTAATACAATGTTAAATTACTATAGCAAAGTCCTTTTAATACCAGTCTTTGAAAAAAGATTAAAGATACAAACTCCAAATCATGTTCTTCTGTAGGACTAATGACAGCACTTCTCTCACAAATCAAGTTTTTCATAATGTAAACTGGTTATAATACAATTAAAACAAAGCAACAACAATAACAACAAAAAATCCAATGGCTGTGTATTTATGTAGTTCACTTATGGGTGAATAAGGAAATACAAAGTGAAAACATCAATAATAACTCTGCTGATGAAGTTCTTGATCAATTGATACATAGATTTTACAGTTTCATAAGTAACTATAAATAGCTTTAGTTTCACTATTTAAAAAAAAACTCCAATAATTACCTCCACGAACAACTGCCTCCAGTGCCATGAGAGCTGGATGGTGCCTGGCTACCATTACTGAACATTTAGATCAAAGATTCTATAGAAGAATATATATATATTCTTATATATATAGAATATATATAATAGATAGATAATAATATATAGAATTCTTCTATAGAATCTTTGATCAAAAGGGAGAAAATACAGAACAGAACTTCAAATTGTCACGGAACCCAGGCTTTCTGGAGCCCTAGAGGTTGGATGAATTCCCAAAATGATCACCTTGAGACAATCTTTAAACCTTAAACCAAAAATATCCCCTGAAGTCTTCTTTAAACCAAACAATAGGTTAGCTTCATAAGTAAAGAATGTCTGCCTTGAGAATTTGTTCTTTTAATGAACTATCTATAGGGGCTCAAATTGACAACAGCAACTTGAAAGAGCAGAGAAAAAACTTAGGGGACAGTGAGTTCATGTTCATGGTGGAGGAATAATTCTGACAAGGAGGGTGAGAATGGCTACATAACTTCAATATAATCAATGTCACTGAATTGTACATTTAGAAATTGTTGAATTAGTGTATGTTTTGCTGTGTACATTTTCAACAATGAAAATAAAAAAATAAAAAAAAAGAAACTTCAGGACAAATACTATATGATCCCACTTATATGACATAGGCAAATGTATAGAGACCAAATTTTATTAGTGGTTATCAGGGATAGGAGGGAGGGGAAAAGGGGAAGTCATTGCTTAAAGGACACTGAATTTCTCTTAATGGTGGCAGAATGATTTGGAAAAGGACAGTGGTAATGGTTGCACAGCATGATGAACATATTGTCACTGAATTTTACTTGTAAAAATTGTTGAATTGACAAATGTTTTGTTATACACAGGCATGTCTTGTTTTATTGCATTTCGCTTTACTGCGCTTCATAGGTACTGCATTTTTTTTTCACAAACTGAAGGTTTGTGGCAACCAAGCATCAAGTAAGTCTATTGGTGACATTTTTCTAACAGCATATGCTCACTTCATGCCTGTGTCACATTTTGGTAATTCTCGCAATACTTCAAACTTTTTCATTATTATATCCGTTATGGTGATCTGTGATCTTTGATGTTACTATTGTAATCATTTGGGGGCACCATGAACCACACCCACATAAGATGTCAAACTCAACTGATAAATGTTGCATGTGTTCTGACTGCTCCGTCAGCTGGCCAGTCCTCTGTCTCTCTCCCTCTCCTCACAACTTCCTATTCCCTGAGATGTGACAATATTGAAATTAGGCCAATTAACAACCCTATAATGGCCTATAAGTGTTCAAGGGAAAAGATGAGTCGCACATCACTCATTTTAAATCAAAAGCTAGAAATGATTAAGCTTAGTGAGGAAGGCGTGTCGAAAGCTGAGATAGGCCGAAAGCTAGGCCTCTTGTGCCAGTTAGCCAAGTTGTGAATGCAAAGAAAAAGTTCTTGAAGGAAATTAAAAGTGATACTCCCGTGACCACACGAATGGTAAGAAAACAAAACGGCCTTATTGCTGATATGGAGAAAACTTTTAGTGGTCTGGATGGAAGGTCAAACCATGCACAACATTCCCGTAAGCCAAAGCCTAATCCAGAGCAAGGCCCTAATTCTCTTCAATTCTGTGAAGGCTGAGAGAGGTGAGGAAGGTATAGAAGAAAAGTTTGAAGCTAGCAGAGGTTGGTTCACGAGATTTAAGAAATAAAGCTGCCTCCATAACATAAAAGTGCAAGGTGAAGCAGCAAGTGCTGATGTAGAAGCTGCAGCAAGTTATCCAGATCTAGCTAACTGATGAAGGTGGCTACACTAAACACCAGAGTTTCAATGTCGATGAAACAGTCTTAAATTGGAAGAAGATGCCATCTAGGACTTTCATAGCTAGAGAGAATCAATGCCTTGCTTCAAAGCTTCAAAGGACAGGCTGACTCTCATGTTACGGGTTACTGCAGCTGGTGACTTTAAGATGAAGCCAGTGTTCATCTATCATTGGAACATCCTAGAGCCCTTAAGAATTATGCTAAATCTGCTCTGCCTATGCTCTATAAATGGAACAACAAAGCCTGGATGACAGCACATCTGTTTACAACATGGTGTACTAAATATTTGAAGCCCACTGTTGAGACCTACTGCTCAGAAAAAGATTCCTTTCAAAATATTACTGCTCACTGACAATGCACCTGGTCACCCAAGAGCTCTGATGGAGATGTACAAAGAGATTAATGTTGTTTTCATGCCAGTTGACACAACATTCTGCAGCCCATAGATCAAGGAGTAATTTTAACTTTCAGATCTTATTATTTAGAAATATATTTTGTAAGGCTATAGCTGCCATAGATAATAATTCTTCTGATGGATCTGGGCAAAGTAAATTAAGAAGCTTATGGAAAGGATCCACCATTCTAGATGCCATTAAGAAAATCTGGAATTCATGGGAAGAGGTCAAAATATCAACATTCACAGGAGTTTGGAAGAAGTTGATTCCAACCATCAGAAATGACTTTGAGGGGTTCAAGATTTCAGTGGAGGAAGTAACTGCAGACGTGGTGGAAATAGCAAGAGAACTAGAATTACAAGCAGAGCCTGAAGATGTGACTGAATTGCTACAATCTCAGGATAAAAATTTAATGGATGAGGAGTTGCTTCTTATGGATATAAAAAGAAAGTAGTTTCTTCAGATGGAATCTACTCCTGGTGAAGATGCTGTGAACACTGATGAAATGACAACAAAGGATTTAGAATATTACATAAACTTAGTTGATAAAGCAGTGGCAAGGTTTGAGAGGATGGACTCCAACTCTGAAAGAAGTTCTACTGTGGGTAAAATGCTATCAAACAGCATTGCATGCTACAGAGAAATCTTTCGTGAAAGGAAGAATCAAACGATGTGGCAAACTTCATTGTTTTTTAGTTTTAAGAAATTGCCACAGCCACCTCAACCTTCAACAACCACCACCCTGATTAGTCAGCAGCCACCAACAATGAAGCAAGACCTTCCACCAGCAAAAAGATTATGAGTCAGTGAAGGCTCAGATGATGGTTAGCATTTTTTAGCAATAAAGTGTTTTTTAATTAAGGTACATACATTGTTTTTTAGACATGTTATTGCACACTTAACAGACTACCAAACCAAAAAACCAAACCCATTGCCATCAAGTTGATTCTAACTCATAGTGACCCTGTACGACAGAGTAGAACTGCCCCATAGGGCTTCTAAGGAGCATTTTGTAGATTCGAACTGCTGACCTTTTGGTTAGCAGCTAAGCCTTAACCGCTGCACCACCAGGGCTCCTAATAGACTATAGTGTAAACATAACTTTAATATGCACTGGGAATCCAAAAAATTTGTGTGACTCGCTTTATTGCGACATTAGCTTTATTGCAATGGTCTGGAACCAAACACGCAGTATCTCCGAGGTATGCCTGTATCTTTTTACCACAATTAAAAATAAAGAAAGAAAGAAACTCCATTATTAAAATTCTCACAGCAAAAACTTTGTTATCGTAAGGCTAAAACTTTATCCCCATATCTCCTTGTCCTTCAAAAGGATAAAATGGATATACTGATAAAATGCTTTTGAAAGTTGCTTAGGAATTATACTTTTACTTCAAAACAGAACACAGTTAACTTTTTATGTATTTAAACATGAATTAAGGGCATAGTCCTTGCAGAGGTAATATTTATGTGAGGAGAAGCATAAATGAGTAATTCAAATGACAACATGAATGCAAGCTCCTTGAAGCCAGGCTTGTACACTGGTATATCCCCTGCCCAGGAAGTGTCCCTAGCAAATAGGAGATGATCAACAAATGTTTTTAGCTGCTGTTAAGTCAACTCCGACTCATGATGACTCCATGTGTTACAGGGTAGAACTGTTCCATAGAGTTTTTGTGGCTGTAATTTTAACGGTAGTAGACTGCCAGACTTTGTCTTCTGTACTACCGATAGGAGGGTTCAAACTGCCAACCTTTAAGTTAGCAGTCCAGCGCAAACTGTTTGTGACACCTAAGGACCCAACAAATATTAGCTGAAGAAATACAATGGATATAAACAAACACCCTGCATAATGCAAACATAAAGTGATGAAGAAAAGAGGCCACTTTAACGTTCCAATTGATCTCTTATTTGGTTTCAGGGGCCTGTGCTATACACCTGTGTCCAATCATGTTACATACAACCCAAACATCAACAATTTGCATGAGTCTGTTTCCAGTTAGCAGCTCATCCTCATCAACACACCACTCAAAGAAAAGAAACCCAGTGCCAACCCCACTTTCTTATTCCTCTGCCGAGATCAAAATTTCAGAAGCATTTCTTCACCTTCTCAGCCAGGGAGGGTATTTCCCAGCCTGGTTTGGTGGAAAGATCACCGGCTATACATTAAAGGGGTCTGGATCCCTCCTAATCCAGCATTCCAAAGTCTGCAGCTCAGAGTGCTCGTACTGCTCCTACCCCCTCCTCCACAAAGGGGTCCTGGAGCTGCATGTTCTTGCAGCCTCCCAAGGCCCCAATTCAGACAGCAATTCAAAACCGATGTTCTCTGGGGAAATACGCTTCCCAAGGCCCGATGTTCCCGGGATGTACGCAGCTGGTCGCCCCCGGCCCTACTTGGGCCCGAATCAGCCCGGGCTCTCCTAGGGGCGCCCCCGCTCCCCACCTCCGTGAACAGCCAAAAACTGCCTCGAAGTCACCTTTCTGGCATCCTTCTGCTGCGCCAGCTGGATTCAGGAAGTACGACAACCACCCCCACCCACTCTGGTGGCCCCAGACCGCCCTGGTGTGCGCAATAACGACAGGGACCCCCCAAGTCACTGACCTAAGATCGTCATCTCTCCGGCCATCACAGTCCCACCGAAGAGGCTTGGGATGACTGTACCAGACGTGAGGCTCCGCCCCCACGCCGCCAGCCGCCCTGCTGGCTCGTGGGAAATGTTGTCCGCTTGCTCTGAAGCAGACGGAGAAGCTACGGCTCAGACTAGAGGACAGACTTCAACTACCGTGAGGCCGTGGGGCAGAGAGTCTCCATTCAACTGCTGCCAGTGACGACTGAGCCGCCTTCTCACGCGCCGACTACCCAACCAATCAGGCTGAGGTGGAGGAGAGCAAAAGCAAGGGCCTGGGGTTGATAACCAAGTCACAAGGGCCTGGAGCCAACCTGAGGTAAAAAAAAATGACCCCACCCCACCGCTGGGCATTGTGGGAAGTGTAGTTCCAGTCTACTCACGCACAGAGATTGAGGACCGTTAGCGTATTACCTTATCGGTTGCGCCCCTAACCAGGCCCAGGTTTGGAGCCTTCGTTCTTTCGTTCTTCCTTACTCCTTTTGAAAGCGTGTTCCTTCGTCTGGGATTTTGATTCTAGATGGTTCCTTTAAAGCGTCCCCTAGCGCCTCAAAGAGATGGAAGACCCTCAACAGGTGGATTGACAGTGACTGCAACAGTGGGCTCGAAAATAGCAACCATTGTGAGGATGGTGCAGAACAGGCAGTGTATCCTTCTCTTGTACATAGGGTCGCTATGAGTCAGAACCCTAACAATAACAACAATAAGCCTCCCTAGAAGAGCTTCTGCCTCCTGCCGCAGTGCGTTGGAGAGGGAGGAGAGGTGGCGCTGGAGTCCAACCTCTAATAAGAAGGCCTCGTCTCATCGCACTGGGAACAGCCTTGAAATCCCAGTAAGATCCTCAGACCTCTGCTTTTGTTTTGGGATAAATGCATCCAAGCACCCTTAAGTGAATATGATTTATCCAATTGGGCATGGTCGCATTTTTCTTTATGGCTAACACTAAAAACAAAAAACCCTAGCTTTCTTTTGAGTTAAGTAACAAGTGGCTGCGGTTCCCTTCCTGGACAGGTCCTATAACATGTAATGGCCGTTTGGGACATTTATGAAATGTTTTTGCGGAGCAAATGGTCAAGGTGCTCAGCTGCTAACCAGAAGGTTGGAGGTTCTACTCCACCTAGAGGTGCCTAAATAAAAGGCCTGGTAATCTACTTCCCCAAAATCAGCCACTGAGAACACTATGCAGCACAATTTTATTATGGCACTCAAGGGGTCACCATGGTACTGGTACTATGAAGTGTTTTTCAAGTTCTAGTCTATAATAAGCCCAATTTTTCTCACTTCTTGGTTACTGGTGGTACTTAATGGCTCATTCTGAGAGTGGTTTTGTCATTATTTCTGCTAGAGTTCTGAGATCCTAGGGAACTGAAATCTGCTTCACGTCAGATATAAATTATAATATCCCAGTTGACCACAGATTAACCTGGTCTGGGAAGAAACCACCACTGGTTTTCTAGCTGATTTAAAAATATATAAGTAAGTGTTGATGATTATTGAAACCAGTTTATGGTTAATGGGGATTCGTTATAATATGCTCTCTACTTTTTGTGTATTTTTTAAATCTTTTGTAATGAAAAGCATTAAAAGTGTGTGCATGTCTGTAATGACTGCTATTCAGTAAAATTGCCTTTTGAGGAATATAGAATTCAAGTACCCAATTCATGAATATTAGGTAAAATTATCATTTTAACAAACACTCAGCAGTTACTAGGTACTAAGTACAGTGGTAGCCACCGGTAACAATTAGAAAGGAGAAAGTTTAAACATATAAATGTTATTTTATATGGTATATATTATAACCGAAGCATGAACATAGGCCAGAAATGGAATTGAGTAAAAAAAACTAAAACCAAAACAGTTGCCATCGAGTCAATTCTGACTCATAGCAACCCTATAGGACAGAGTTTAGGACTGCCCTGTGGGATTTCCAAGGAGCGGCTGGTGGATTTGAATTGCCAACCTTTTGGTTGACAGCCATAGCTTTTAACCACTGCGCCATCAGGGCTCCACAGGAATTGAGTAAAGGCTGTATAATTTTATCTTGAAGAGAAAGCTTACTGAAATATGTCTGAGCAGTATTAGGAAGAGTAACAAGAAGCCATGAGGTGGGCAAATGGAATAATAGGATACAGTGAGCTGCAGGTGTTCCAGGTAGACAGAACTGAATTACCAAGCACATACAAACAGAAGACCAGCCTATAGCTTGTAACTGCTGGATCATAAAACAGTAAGTAGAAGTCTGAAAGATAAGACTAGAGGCTAAGCCCAGATCAGGAGAAACTATATTAGTCATTTGTAGCAGGCATTGGTCATTGCCATTCTCCCTGCCGCCAAATCCTTCCTCCTTGCTAATAGGGTTCTGATTTGTTCAAGAAGTAGGTGGAGATACATGATTTCAGAGTGAAAGGCCATTATACTAGGGGGAGGAATTAAGACTGAACTAAATAGGCTGTATTAGTTTTCTATTGCTGCCTTAAATTAACAATAAATTTATTGTCTTAAACCAACATAAATTTATTATTTTACAGTTCTGTATGTCAGAAATTTGCTATGGGTTTCATTGGACTAAAATGAAGGTGCCAGCAGGACTGAATTCTTTTCTGGAGGCTTTAGGGGAGAACCCATTTCCTGCTCATTTGGATTGTTGGCAGCATTCAATCCCTTGTGGTTATAGGACCAAGGTCCACATTTTCTTACTGACTTTAAAATGAGGGGCATTCCCAGCTTCTAGAGGCCAGCCACATTCCTCAGGAACTCCTTTCTTCCTCTTCAAAGCCAGCAATGGAAGGACTTAGGTCAAGTCCTTCCAGGGAACATCTTTTTTGCCTCCCTCTTTTGGCTCTGAGAGGTCATGTGATTAAATTGAACTCACCCAGACAATCTAGGATAATCTAATCTCAAACTTTAGTAACCTTAATCACATCTGCAAAAGCCCTTATGTAAGGTAATATATTCACAGATTACAGGAATTAGAATGTAGACATCTTTGGGAGGCCATTACTTTGCCTATCACAGTCTACCCTCTTGCCCTCAAACATTCACGTCAGTCCACATGCGAAATGCATTCACCTCATTCCAACATCCTCCAAAGTATCATCCCATTAGAGCATCAACTTGAAGTCCAAAAACTTATTTTACCTCACTGTTTAAAAGTCCAAAATCTCACCATTTAAATTATCTAAATTGGGTAGTAGCTGATGTCACTAATCACTTCTTGTTTGCTTACAAACCGAGGAATAATGAAATACTTAGACAAGAATGCTGGTGGGACTATTCCAATTGTTTCTGAGGGTTATAGTAATGGTATAAAAAACAAAAAACTCAAAGTACCGGGGATTGGGAAATAGGGGTGAAGGAAGATGGAAAAAATGTGGATATACTGATAGATTAATTTTTCTCAGTAGAGACTTGATGTTGCTAGGTGCCGTCCAGTTGTGTCCAACTCATTGCAACCCCATGCACAACAGAACAAAACTGCCTGGTCCTGCGCCATCTTCACAATCACTGCTATGTTTGAGCCCATTGTTGCAGTCACTGTGTCAATCCATCTCGTTGAGTGTCTTCCTCTCTTTCGCTGACCCTCTGCTTTACCAAGACTTTCTCCCTCCTGATAACATGTCCGAAGTATATGAGATGAAGTCTTGCCATCCTTGCTTCTTAGGAGCATTTTGGCTGTATTTCTTCAAAAACAGATTTGTTTGTTTTTCTGACAGCCTACGGTATATTCAGTATTCTTTGCCAACACCATAATCCAAAGGCATCAATAGTTCTTTGGTCTTCCTTATTCATTGTCCAGCTTTTGCATGCATATGTGGCAATTGAAAATACCATGGCTTGAGTCAGGTGCACCTTAGTTGTCAAGGTGACATTTTTGCTTTTTAACACTTTAAAGAGGTCTTTTGCAGCAGATTTGCCCAATGCAATGCCTTGTTTGATTTTTTGACTGCTGCTTCCATGGAAAATGAAATCCTTGACAACTTCAATATTTTTTCCATTTATCATGGTGCTGCTTATTGGTTCAGTTGTGAGGATTTTTGTTTTCTTTATGCTGAGGTGTAATCCATACTGAAGGTTCTAGTGTTTGATCTTCATCAGTAAGTGCTTCAAGTCTTCTTTGCTTTCAGCAAGTAAAGTTGTGTAATCTATATATTGCAGGTTGTTAACGAGTCTTCCTCCAATCCTGATGCCATGTTCTTCATATTGTCCAGTTTCTCAGATTATTTGCTCAGTGTACAGATTGAGTATGTATGGTGAAAGGATACAAACCCCGACACATACCTTCCCTGATTTTAACTCATGCAGTATCTCCTCGTTCTGTTTGAAGGACTGCCCCTTGGTATATGTACAAGTTCCGCATGAGCAAAATTAAGTGTTCTGAAATTCCCATTCTTTGCAGTGTTATCCGTAATTTCTTATGATCCACACAGTTGAACGCGTTTGCATAGTCAATAAAATATAGGTAAATATCTTTCTGGTGTCCTCTACAGCCAACATCCATCTTTCATGAACAATGATATTCCTCATTCTCCATCCTCTTCTGAATCTGGCTTGAGTTTCCAGCAGTTTCCTGTGGATGTACTGCTGCAACCATTTTTGAATTATCTTCAGCATAATTTTACTTGCATGTGATATTAATGATGTTATTTGCTAATTTCTGCATTCTGTTGGATGACCTTTCTTTGGAATGGGCACACATATGGAGAGTTGATAGGTAAAGTCTAAAAGAGAATTTAAGAAATAGAAACTTAGATTATTTCAGATTATGAAGACAGCATTTCAAAGGTCAAATAAAATAATAAAATTTCTAGAAAAAGAAATAGATAAAAATAGATAGGATGAAATCAAATTATGTATATTTACAATTTTTCATAGAGGAGTGTCAATATCATTTAAAGTTAAATTTTAAAATTCCCTATAGCAAAATATATCAACAAAGAAGAAGCACTAAAAAAAGAGAAAATATACTAAATGAAAGATTTAAGATCAATTTTTATTATATCCATAAATACAAATGAGATAGACTACAAAATACCAGATTGG